GTCAGTAGAATTTGCTTTTCCACTAGGTCTTTGAAATTTTTAGTTTCTGGTTCTTGGTCAAAGTGTTGGATATGGGTTGGATATGGGTTCCATCTTATGGAATGCTCAAGTCAAACCAGTTATCTCTTTGAAAAGTACAGAGGCTTGTTTCGCCATTGTCCTAGCATATTTTGCAGGCAGGACAGCATTGCACATCAAAGGTTTTATGGCTGGGTTAGTGGAAGGTTTTTCTTCCCTTAGCTTGTAGAGTACCTTCATGTTTGAAAAACACTATAAGATGGGAGTGAAGGGTTTATATATGTACCAGCTTAACTACTACATGTTTAATGAGTTATGTGGGTGTTTTCTTCAGCAATGGGGACTTTATGTCAGATTTGGAGAGCAATCTATTTCATTATCAACAGACTGAGTTGTCCCAGGATTTACATGAGACCACTTTGGACAAGAACTAAATTGAATGTCACCCAGTTCTGGTACTGGAAGCTTACTTTGGAGACAAGAGATGATGAGTTAGAACTTCATTTCTCTCATTATTTAGTGACTTCATTATGATTATCTTCATATGTTTTAGAAAGTTTCCACTGCTCTAGGTTTCTATATCACCTCAAATGCTCCTCAAATCTTGCTATATTTCCCCTCATTTCCTGACTTCATGACCTGATTTTCTTGTTCTAGCACCCCTGCCCCCCAGTCCACCCATAAGGTCTATTCTGTTTCCCCCTCCTAGAGAAATCCATATGTCCCTTCCTCCCTTCCTCTATAACTAAACTCTCTAGGCCTATAGACTGCATCTTGGTTATCATTTATGTAAGAGCTATTATTTACACAGAAGCCAATACATACCATAATTATAGGTCCGGGTATCTGTTACCTCACCCAGGATGATTTTTTTTCTAGTTCCATACATTTGCCTGCAAATTTCATGATGTCATTTTTTAACAGTTGAGTAATTCTCCAGTTTACATATGTACCACATTTCCTTTATCTGGTCTTCTGTTGAAGGACATCAAGGCTATTTCCAATTTCTCACTATTACTGAAAGAGTAGCAATGATCATGGTTGAGCAAGTGTCCTTGTGATAGGGTTAAGCTTTCTTTGCGTATATTGTCAAGAGTGGTATTGCTGGATCTTGAGCTGGAATGATTCTCATCTTTATGAGGAAATGCCACATTTATTTTCATAGTGGCTGTACATGTTCACACTCCCACAAGCAATGGATGATGAGTGTTCCCTG